AAACGGTCCCCGGAGGGCCTACGTGCAGTTGCGCCCCCTTGGGTAACCTTGAACACCTTGCTTCCTTAGGCCTCCTTCCTTGCCTTTCATAAAATTAGGTATGGAGGGTGTAGACCAGAAGGCCTCCGCTTCTCCTCAGCTCTGGCTTCTAGGAAAGAAAGTTCACAATCTGGTCTCTGGGAATAAACCTGGCTTCGATTCCTACATATTAGCTGTGTGATATTGATCAGGTTGCTTATTCTCTCTGACCCCGACCGTTCCTGCCTGTGAACGGGGGATGGCAATGCCATAGTTCAGAGCAATGTTGTAGGGTTAAATGAGACAAGATGGATACTGCGTATGTACCTGCTGGCAGGGGACCGGCATGTTGGATGTTGTATTATCATTTCTAGAAGTCTGTGATTCACTGATGGAAGGGGGGGCGCGTTTATGGGGCCGTGGTTGGGGTAATCCTGTTCCAGCCACTGTCCTTTTGCTCCCTCAAACAGGAGTTGGACACCGTTGTATAGCAGAGAAAGCCCAAGACGACCACTGTGTGCCACGAATCAGCCTAAGGTCTAGAAAGTGGTGGAGGAGAGCAAAGGGAAAATGAGAGGGAGGGGGAACAGAATAGAGCCTCACATGGGGGCCCTGATATTGGGGTTCAGATGCTCTGGGGAGCGCGTGAGCTGAGCTCCTACAAGGGAAGCACTGGTGGGGCCAGAGCCCTCTAGGACCTTTCCTGGGCAAAGGCCTCAGCCTCTCCTGGGACTTCGCTCCCTGAACCTCCCTGCTGCATGATCAAGGGGACCCCCAGAGACCCAGAGAGTCCCAATAGCAGCTCTGACACTGATCCAAAAAGACCTCGCTGGGCCGCAGGGACGGGGCCCGGTTCCAGAGTGCCAAGGAATCGTTACCTTTTCTCCCGTTGACTCTCTTTGCCCTTCTCTGGGCAACAAAGCAAATCCCACAAGAATTTCCGCATGACTCTCTTTTGCTTCATGTTTCTCGAACTAAACCAGGAGTTTCTTGGAATTGGTATGCACTCGAGGCTAGAACAATAGGAGGACATGTCCGTTTGTTCCTGCTCTACCCAGATACAGCTTTTAGAATCTTCTGTTTAGCTCTTCTTCTTCTTCTTCTTCTTCTTCTTCTTCTTCTTCTTCTCCTTCTCCTTCTCCTTCTCCTTCTTCTTTTTTAACAGCCTGTAAAGTTACTTTACATGTAGAGAGCTGTGGATGCATTGGCAGGCTGATTCCCTTCATGAGAACCAGCTTCTTCAGCTTTTGTACCAGAAACGGATTTTAACTGACTTTTTCTCCACCAGAGTCTACTGAAACGATACCAGCCCCACCGAGTCCCTTCCACCTGCTGTGCCCCGGTGAAGACCAAGCCACTGAGCATGCTCTATGTGGACAACGGCAGAGTCCTCCTGGACCATCACAGAGACATGATTGTGGAAGAATGCGGGTGCCTTTGACGAGATCCTGGTGGGGCCGGATTTGCCTGTACCCTGGGACGTTGGGAAGGTCCTAGAAGACACGAGAACCATCTAATGCAATGAGGAGACACAGAGGGGGAAAGGTTGTTCTGTGTGCTAGACCGAGGAGGAAGGGCTGCCCCCTCGGTAAAGGAAGGCTCTGGGAAATCTGCCTCATACGGAGGCTGCTGTCAGGAGATGGCAGGCTGGTTGGCTGTTCTTCCTGAAGAGACGGTGGTGACCGGAAGCACTAGGGCAAGGGTTCTTTACTTGACTTCTTAACCTATGAATCCCCAGAAATGGTAGGCAAAAGGTGGGGCATGTGTGCATTCATCTTTGAGGTGGGATAGCTTACTGATGACTTTTATGTATTCTCAGAAGGGGTCTTGGACCAGCCCTGCCCCCTGTCAAGATGAAGTTCACTGTGTTAAATGAAAAACAGTTTCTCTCATCGTCTCCGGCTGGTTTAGGGTAGCCCCGCCCCCCCTTTCAGGCTGGCCTGTGGCGATGTGCTGGCCTTGTCCAGAGGCTCCCCAGAGTGGGTCTCTGCTAATGATGTGCACAGACACTACAGCCATTGTGAAGTCCTCCCAGGCCAGCTGGTGCCTTTGAAGGGAGAGGCAGGAACTCCCCCAGAGAGCTGGCCACGGTGCACTCCGGGAGTGGAGCCCTCGGGCACCCCCAGCCCCCCAACCTCCCCCACCCCTCGCGTCAGCCTGCTTGGCAGACACAGTCCATTAAAGTTGGTGACAGTTCTCCTCGGTCTCTCATTGTGTGCTGTTAATGAGGCCCCGAGCTTCCCATCCAACAGGGGTGAGGGCGGCCTAGGACTTGGGTTATGGTCACAGCTGAGCCACTGAGAAGCTGTGTGGCCTCAGGTAATTCCTTGCTCAGCCTCCTTCTGTAAGGTGCGAGTAGGAGGATCCTGTTGGCCTCCTGTAACCTTGTCTGTTAGCGGGCCTGACGTCATGGACTGTCCTCTGGGCCTTATCCCTGTCTCCCTCTACAGCTTACGAAGCCTGCTGAGCCCCGGGGCCTGCAATACCTTCCTCTATGGAACCTTTATCAGCCCTTTTGTTGCTCAGGGCTTGAAGTCTGGCTTCATTTCGGGTTCCACCTAGCTGCCCAGTAGAAGGAACCCCAGCTTTTTTGTGGGAAGCTCTGCATCACAGCACCCGAGCACGGTTTTGCCTTTTGGACAAAAAGACCCCAAAGGCAGCAATCCTGTTTTTCTTTTAGCTGACCTCATGAAGCGTTGCCGGAACACGGGCTGTTCTGTTTGGCAGCAGGGAGGAGGGGGGCATTCTAGTGGGATTGTGGGGTCTACGGTCGTTCTACCCCTGCTCCCCACCAAGAAGCCAGTCAGCTTGTGCTGCCTCTACGCAGAGGAAAGGACGCGTGAAGTGCTAGCAGAAGGCTTAGAAAAATGATCCCATCATGTGAGATGTGATGATGTGATGATGATGATGATGATGTCAGGATGATCCCATCCTGACGTGAGATGTGACTGGACTCGTAGTGACAGTTGAATCAAGTTAGCAATCCCGGCCTAGGCCAGGGTTGGAGAGGCTAGAGCCAGGTCTGGGCTTGAGAAACCTCAGTGCCCTGATTCGGCGACCAAGCCATTCCGGCCTCTGGCCTCCAGCCGCTCCTTTCCTGGGGTGGAAACAGAACTGCCCTCACCAGGATCCCGAATCACAGTGGGATTCTGCCAGCTGACTCCATTCAGAAAAGAGCAGAGCTGGGGAGCCCCTGTGAGGCCGGCTTTTTATCCCACCCAGAGGCCCAGGGCCTGACCACACAGCTAGGAGGCACTGGGTCAAGACCGCAGCTCTGGTCTCGGGAGCCCCAGGACCCTATCCTTGACAGCAGCCGGAGGTTTTTGCTCCCCTACTTTGGGGTCAAGGCCTTTGGAACCGAACATCTGGACCCAATTCCACTACCACACTGAAGTTCTGGCAAGTGAAAATCCCACGCCGGGGCTTTCGAGCGTCTTGCATACTAAACGGGTCCGACACTCCTCTGGCAACGGCCGGGAAAGTGCAAGTTGCTTGCGGCGGCGGCTCCGTGGGAAGGTTTACTGGCTCAAAGCAAACCTCGCAGACAAGGCCCTGCCCCTCGCAGGAGGCAGGCACGAAGGGGCGGAGCTTGCTTCTGCTGAGGCCTGCTGAGCGCCCAGCACTGGGCCTGTCAGCCCAGGGCCTGTTAGCCGTGGGTCGTCCTGCCACCGGGCCAGAGGCCTTTGGAGCCAAGCCTAAGAGTACGGCTTCGAGCCCTGCACTCCGTGTGTGGAGGAAATACCGCCCAGAGGCCTGCCCTAACCTGGGGGCCACACGGGGCTCTCAGAATGGTTACTTCAACGTGCTCTCAAGGCAAAGGTCTCCTGTACTCAGAGCCGTGCCAGGCCAGTAGCTGAGTGGGGACAAGTGGATGCCTTACTGTCCCGGGCTGGAGCAGGAGGTGGGCCTGGTGGCACATATGAGTGAAGAAAGAGAGAGATTGAAAGGAGAGAAGTGGAAATGTGGGCTGCACGGGAGTCGGTTGTGACTCCCACTGGGACTGTTTGCCGCCATCTTGTCTCCCCTTCTCCCCTCATCCTAAGTCGCCTTGGAAGGTGGCATCCCACCTACCTTGACGTAGGAGAAAGGCCATATGAAGTGCTAGTGGGAGGGTTTGGCCCCGTCTTCCCCCAGATTCCTTCCAGAGGTCCCAGGCTGGGTGGTTGGCTGCAGCCCACAAGCCAGCTCCACGCCTGAAGTTGCTCACTCCCGAGGGACAGGAGGCCCAGCTGGCCGACCTCGGGTCACCCCACCAACTGGGCTGTGCTCCAGCCCTTTCCCGAACACTTCCTGTGCCCGGCCCGAGGCTGAACGCCTTCCACGAGTCTCACAGCCACCTAGGAGCGGGTAGCTCTTAACCTTGGCCTACCTGAGCGAATCCTGGCAGGAGGAAGGCCTCCGAGCAGCTTGGCTGGGCTTCAAGTCTGGCTCACTCCGAAACCTCAGAACCAAACTTCGCCACTGTCCGATCAGGAAAACATTTCCTCGGGTCCACTTTGACTCGGCGGACCTCTGTTCACCTCTCCGACAAGACAGAATTCTCGCTCCCGGTGTTAATATGTGAGACTCACTGGATTAATAATAGCAAAGAATTGGATGCCCCCGCAGTACAGCCTAGTTTAGGACCTCGGAGGGGATGCGTGTCTGCAGGTGCCCCTGGAGACACAGGCTGCCCTTGTGGGGAAAAGGGGAAGCCGCTGTCTGGGCCTCTGTGACACTGGTCCACACCAGGGGCCTTCCTGGCATGTCCGGCCTCCCGCATGCACCCATTCACCACCAGGCTTGAGGGAAGGGACAGAGCATCTCGCCACATCTCTGGGCTGGCCGGACAATGTCTGTGCTCCGCCAAGGTTGAGAACCGCCCCACGAGACGGCTGACCACCCCTGCCCCTGCCCATCTACCTCACCAGTAGAGATCACCCCAGCCCCCCATGTGAAATCAACAGGGTTTCACCCAAAATTTAAGACAATCAAAACACAAGTTGATATTCAAGATCTTTATTGATTTAACTGTAACAGCAACCATTGGTGAGAATTTAATTTTTTCCCTAATTTCCAAACACCTGCTGGTTTAGGACAGTTACAAAAACCAAAACCAAAACCAAAACCAACAAGAGTGATCACAGGCTCACAGAGGACTGCCTCGAGACCACATGGCGTCCTCTGCTCCCCATCCAGGACGGTGAAATGGACGGGACAGATGGGGGACAACCACGTCAAAGGGCATGAAGGGAAGACCAAGAAGTACTGGCAGTCTCCACTTTTCCATTCAGTGGTTGGAACTGGGCCACTGGTGGCACCAAGACAGGAAAGGGCATTTGTTTTATACAGAAAATATCTTATTAAAGATGCTTAAAATGGACCCCTGGATATGTGAGTGTCCTCAGGGCTTTCCAAGATGCCTCCTTTGAGGCTTGCCCCTGGGGTACCCAGGTGGGAAGAGGCGGGTTGTGTTCAGGGGAGGGAAAGGCACTGGCTCATAGTACTCAGTGATCTGGACCCGGCCACCAGGAGCAAGATGGCTTACTCGGAGCACCGGTCCTTAGCTCATGTTCCTCCCCAACCCTCCTGGTTTCAAGTAAAAATTACCCTTGGCCTGGACTTGGTTTTTTGTTTGTTTTTAAAGATTAAGAAGGAGAGGAAGGGGCTACACCAGGGGCAAGATTGGCTGTTCTGTGCTATATTCATTGAACTGAGTTAGAAGTGTCCAGGAATTTGGGGGGTAAGCACCAGCAAGAGCCCCCTCTGGAAATTTCGGCACGGCCACATGATGATCAAACACTGCGACATCTGTCAGTGCCCCACTCTTACAAAGGTGGCAAAGAATTTAATACCCCAGGAAATGCGTTTCATTTCCCCCTGGCCATCCACACTGCATGGCCGGGGGGCCAGGGCTGCAGACAGAGGTTAAGCGAAGAGAAACCACAGGCCCTCTGAACAGGAACTTGAGACCTCTTCAACCTAGTTTTGCCACAAGGTATTCATTTCTAGGTCCAGCCCAGAGAAAGAGATTTAAATTCCAGGGGTGGGAAAGGTGACATGAATGAATGCTTGAAAAAAATCAGTTTGCATCCCTCTCCTTCAAGCCTTTCCTAAGAAATTCCTGAGCTAGCCTCAAGGAAACCTCAGTGCTAAACTGGAAAATCCTTACTAGAACAGGAAATGCCCCTGGGGTGGAAGCATTCAAAAGAATTGTGACCCGGTTGCTTCAAGATCTGATTTCATCCTTTATTAAAAGCTGAGGTAAGGACACGGGGATGGGGGTGTATGGTTAACCACACCCCTTTCAAAGTCCGGACAGAAAACTGCCCTGCCAAAGAAACCATGCTTCTTTAAAATGATTACCCGTGCCCAGATGCCATGGGTGGGTAAGTGATTGGGTTTCGCAGATTGATACACAGCTGCTATTCTAAGTCTAGAGACATGCCGAGACAGGCAAGCTCTGGCCCAGATGCAGAGGCAGCAGACTGACCACCTCTCTGCAGGAGAACTCCAAGGGCCCAGGGCCCTGGCTTCAAGCAGCCAAGATGCTTGACACGCCATCGAATATCCAAGAAGCAGAGAATGAATAAAAAGTCCGTTTCTGGGATCTTGCTCCAGCACTACCAGCTGCCTTGACCGCACGCAGGCACACAGCGTGTGCGGCTGAACAAAAGGCTCTGGGGTGAAACCCGCACAGGCAGCAGGCTGTGTGCTACTGCAGACGTCTGAACCCAAGAGGTCAGATGGTCCCAAAAAGCTGGGAGCACAAACAACAACAAAAAACAAAAGACCCATCTATTTTGACTCTGCCTCAAAATCAGAAGGAAAAAGGCAATTCATGGGAAAGTGGTGTGAAGGAGTCCATACTTGTGGAGGGAAGTGCCTTGTTCTCCAGGCTGCCTCAGCAGCAATGCTTCTTGGTCAAGTTCACGCTTAACCAAGCAGTGCTACAGAGAAGAAAACACTGGGAAGAGGCAGAGCATAAAGCTAGACAGGACTATGTGTCTGGAAGCGATCTCAAGTCTCTAAAACATGGTTCAGCACGGGCGCCAGACACCCGGCAGACGTTCCCTAAAACTTAGTGTTCAACTGACTGGGGTCATCTAGGTTTCTTTCACGGGTGAAGCGCGGACCAGTTCTCTTTAAGAACACGTATCCGTCAGGAAGCCCAGGCCGAGGTGGGCACCCAGTTAAGACACACACCGGATTTAGAGGCACGATGAAGCACCAGCAGACATTTCTAATTCCCAGATGTTCCCTACTGAATTGCATTGGTGGCTTCCCGGGGGAGAGAGCCGACCGGAACGTGCTTCGGCTGGTATAGCTGCAGAGAGCAGGTGCCAACCTCGACTCGGCCAGGGGCATGGCACAGCTGCAATCGACTTCCCTCTGAATCTCAACCGTGAAGCTTTTATTCGGCCGCTAACCCAACACCTCCTTCACATACCCTCCTTCGGTTTAACAACCCTGACTCCAATGGAGTCTGCTTTCGTGGCTCAGTTAGGAGGATCCAGTTCCCTTTGTCGGTTCCTGGCCCAGGGAGAGGCAAAGATGGGGGTGCTGGCCCAAGGCGTCCTTGCCCTGCCGGCAGCCAGGCAAATGTAGAGCTCTTTTCATTCTCTTGGGAATCATCATTTCTTGCCACCGCTCTCCAAACCTGCAGGTGGCTTTGGGGAAACAAGAGAGCGTCTGTCTTCTATTCAGTTTGGACATGGCAGTAGCAAGCTATCTCTCTGTGGTATCTAGTTTTACCTTCCCCCCGCTGGACTGACTTAAAACCCCGTTGGTTTTAAGATAGAGCCCCCACGTTCTCAGATACTGCACCACTGTCGGCCAGGCATAGGAGCTTGCTTCTAAGGGCCACAGGACTGTCATGAAAGGCACTGCAGACTCCTCCTTGCCCTTCTCCCTGGGGCCCCCTGCTCAGGGGTAGCCAGCTGCTCTGGTGCGAGGACCCTCATGCTGCTCTACACAGGGACCCGTACGGAGAGATCGAAGTCATCCTCCTTTGTGGCCCCAAGAGCCACAAAGAACACGCGCAGAAGGGGATTCTCCAGCCCCAGTGAGATGACTGCAAACCCTGCCAACATCTGGGCGGCCACTTCCGGTGACCCTGTGCCAGAGCCATCATGCTAAGCTGCTTCCCATTTCTAACCTCCAGAAGCTGACAGAAAACGTTTGCCTTTCGAGATTTAAAGTTTGGGGGTAATCTGTTACACAGCAATAGAAAACAAATACAGGCGAACGACAACCTCTCGGCTTGACAGCCCAATACCAAGAAGCCAGCTGCAAGACAGTGTGCTCTGGAGAACTTTAGCTATTTAAACAGAATACAAAGACGTGGTGATCTCACCAAACTACATTGTAAAGACAGACCAAGACAATGCATGACTCCTGCTTGAATTTGGAGGAACGAGGTCATTTCTCACTGCGATGGACTGTCCTCAGGGGTACAGAAACATAGTCTCGTCATAAAAAGAACAAATGATCACTAAGATTTTAAGAACCATCTCACTCAGATGGTCCCCAAAGGGTTCTCCTTCCCCAAGAGAAAGCCAGAAGAGATTACTCATTCTTCTGGATCTGGCTTGCCCTGAAAAAAAAAAAATCACTCCATGAGGCCTGGTACCAAGGTGTCGTCTGTTACAAGTTCATCTGCTGCCTTGTGAAACTATCTTTAAAATGCAGATTTGTGGAGGTCCAAGTATGTCCCACAGCAGTGGCCCCCAGGAAAGGACACCAACCAGTAAGGAGGTCCTCACAGAAAAGGCTGAAGGAGTGGGCCGCTGCTCTACATACAGCTGACATTCCCTCAAAAACTAGAAAGATGGCCTCCGATTAGGGAGCCATGTGCAGAAATTCCCCAAGATGGCAGAAAAGGGGGAAACGACGCCTTGACATTACCGAAGCTGGCATGTTTCAAATCCACTCCCTGCTGCTCAGCGAGGCCGCCAGATTTTCATGTGTAGCAAGCAAGATCGAGAAGGAGCGCTTTTCTGCTCACTGCCTGACTAGCTGGAGTTGGAGCTGGGTTCCGTGGAATGCCAAAGCCAGCTATGAAGGACAAGAAGCTTCATTCCCAAAGAATCGAGCTCCCAGCGGACTATGGGTTCCTGAGCAAGCTTCTCACGCAAATGACAGTGCAACTGAAGGTTTGCCGAGAGTATGGAAAGTGAAATTTGGGAGTTTAATTACAATCAGAATAGGGATACATGAAACCAACAAGAAAATACTTTTTTTGATCATCAATTTTTGAGATTGAAAACATCCCCCAAATTTTGGAGATCCAGCTTATTCCTGAGAAACATCAACCATCACAAAAGGGTCACTCTGAACTACTCACATTTTGTAGTAGAAAACAGAACAAAGTTCCCTGGACAGCCTTCCTTTCTTCTGTCTAAAAGGTGTTCAGAAACAGGGTCTTTTCATAGTTCAAACGAAAAACAAACAGCTCGCTTTCTTAGTCGGTTGGCCTGTTACTATCACCCTGGGATGTGGTCTCTCAATGAGAGGGTTCAGGGCACCGAATGCAACCAGAAATTCCCAGAACACCAGCGGCTACTTTACTTGTCGTTCCAGGAGGACAGAGGTGTTAGTCTTTCTATGGGGGTGGGGCGGGGGTGGGGGGTGTCACTCTCCCGGGATTACTGTACCAGTCAACGGTTGGGAGGGTCGTGGTGGGGACATGAAAAAGCAAAGGGGAGGGGGAAAGAACGAGGTTCTGGTGAACAAGCCACGGCAAGGCAGAATGGTCCAGTATGACACACCACCCGCTACAAACTGCAAACATGCACACCCAAAACTAGAGGGAGAAGCAAAGAGCTCGTCAGGGACTCGGGGGGGGACAAAGGATGGTGACGTGGAACAGCAGACTCGCCCGTGGACATTTCTCACCTTCCTAATACCGAAGATGTGTAATTAAAAAGTTGCTGCTCAAAATCGTATTGAAAACATATCTAAAAATAGGTCTGTAGTCATCTTAAAAATAAAAGATCACTCCTCAGATAAGAGGAGTGAGATATTATCAGATACCAACGCTTGAGGTATCTTTGATGTGTACTTGAAAAATGGCCTGGCAGAGAGAGAGGTGGGAGGGAGGGACAGACGGAGGGAGGGAGAGGAGAGGGACAACTCTGAGTACGACGGGGAAGGCAAGAGAATGGGGAGAACCCACTTTCGAGCCGGTGCTTCTCCATCCCAGCAGTCTCGGCAGGTCCACAAAGGAAAAAAGTTTGGCTCTCTTCCAAGAGCATTCTGAAAGTCATCTTTTAAACTCAAAATATAAGACCCTGCGGTCAGAGACAGCGAGTATCTCGAAGCTCAGGGGACGAGGAAGCAAGGACTGCTGAGGCCGAGTACCCACCCGGTTCAGCACGCTCCCCAGGTCATTCTGCAGGATCACCCAGCAGACCGCTATGACCAGGCCTCCCTCCCCCAAAGCGCCCGTCGCTTGGACAGGCCCGTTGCAGGAGCGGCAGAATCACCCGGGGGGCTCAGATACAATGGGACAGCAGGCAGTGGGACGCTAGCAGGGAGGGAGGAGAGGAGAGCCCCGCTGCTTCCCGAGGACTCCCCGCTCAGGTGGGGCCCACACTTTTCTGCACAGATGTGCTAAGTGAAGGACTGGGAAGCGGCACTCGAACATTAAAGACAGAAGACATTCGTGCCGGAGGAAGGAGGGGGAGCGGGCCGAAGCGGGTCTCAGAAAGCGTGGCAGGGTGATGCCAGCAGAGCTGTACAAACCACACTCTGACCCAAAGGACAAATGTCTCAAGGGACGAGGAGAGTGGCTCTCGCCATTCTCACCCCCTCTGACGGCTGTGAAGACCTGAGACCCAGACTCCTGCAGCTCTGAACCACAGCGGGGAGACAGGGAGGGCAGGCGGGGGTCAGGACGTGGACAGTGCCGAACCCACCATACCCGTGTCACTTCCCCAGACTTCCCAGCCAAGCAATTGTGGGCAGGCTGATATTTGATTTGGGATTTTAAAAAATGGGGGGTGGGGTGGAGGGAGTGCGGGGAGGCTAGGTTTTTCTCAACTGTCTTTCTCAAATGACTACGGAAGCCAGAGTTTAACTGTTTTCCTCTGTGGGCTGCTTAGGTCTACGGAAATATGCTAAGGACCTTGGATGGAATCTGTGTAACTGGGAAGGGGGACAGGAAAGAGGGAGAGGAAACGGTCAGATGAAGCTCATCTGCGCATCATTTGGCACCCAGAGCAAGGAAGAGGGGGACTTGGGGGCTGCGATGGGACTGCTGGCTGCCCCTTCTGTCCGTTCGTTGTTGATCTGATGGGCCCAATCCAGTGCGCCCGGCCTCGGCGCTGCTGCTCTCCTGCCGCTCCTGCAGGCGGTCAGATGTCCATCTCGAACTGAGCATCATCCCCTAGGAAGAATCAAGACACAGTTTGGAACAAAAGGCAAGGCCAAGCAGCTCTGTCATTCTTCCGCTGGAGGGTCAAAAACGGATCCAAACTCTCCCGTTCTCTGCTGCCTTAGAACAATTATGTGTTTGCTTTGATTCGTCTTTTTAACGTGGAAAAAAGAATGGCACTCAACCCGCAAGGAATAGGATCTGGGAAAGAAGATCCAAGTGAAAACCCGCCCAGCATCCCTCTGGCTGCAGGCGACCCCACTGGGAGCTCCTTGCATCTATCATGCTGGCAAACCCTTCTGGAGGCTCCGAACTTCAGCCCTGCTCTCAATCAACACTTTGTCCATGCAAAGCTCATTTGGAATTTGAGAAGGCAGAATGCTGGCTCCCGCACAGAGGTCGGGGGGTACGACCCGAGGCATACCTCGGGAGCCAGCCACTTCCACCTCCCTCTTCTGCTTCCACGGAAACAGAGTGGCTCATTACTCAGTGTGTGACAGAGAGAGAGAGAGAGAGAGAGAGAGAGAGAGAGTGTGTGTGTATCATAGGCAGTCCTAGAAAATGGGGAAACAAACCCTATTTCCCCCTGCACCACAAAAAGGACATTCTTCTTGTAAGAAAGAGGTCTATTTCTGAAGGGCAATGGAAATGAGGCCTGTTCAGTTCTGTTCTGTGTGTTACTCCCAGTTCAGTACAGCCCAGGCTGGAAAGGACTTGAGGGCTGGTTCAAGGACTAATCTAAGAATTTCCTATGCCCTGAGTTTGGACTTCTCCCTATTCCCCGATTAGATTCACCTAAGATTTAGAACCTAGGGTTTCCAGAACATTTCAGTAAACCTTGGTGATGGGAGCTGCCGGGAATCTTAGAGACCTATACATGAATGTTGGTTATAACTGAGGAATCAATTTTCAACCTGTAGCCGACTGACACTGGAATTCCCAGGGCTACCCACTCGGCCCCCCAAACACTTACCAACTGCATGCTTCCTGTCATGATTGTTCAAGTTATTCAAATTGTTTACTTCTACTTTGGAGTCTTCGATTAAGGTGCCAGGGCTGGTGACCCCTGGGATATTGGGCAGATGGCAGGGCGGGGTCTGAGCCATGGGAGAATTGCGACGATCCAACAGAAACTTTCGATCATAAATGATTCGGGTTCCTGGAAAACAGGGTTCAAGAGTCTGAAACAAATTAAGGGGCTTTCAACCTACAATTATTACCCAGGAATTTATTTTAAATTCCATCAAAACCTAACCCTTGAGGGTTCACAGTCCAAAAAAAAAGGGTAAGTTCTACCCTTCCCGCTTGGGACCAGGCCCCTCTGCTGGAGGAGTGCCTTTTCCTCCTCTTCTATTCCAGCTTTAAGGCTCAGCCCCAACATCACTTCCTTTACAGAACACCTTAAAAAAAAATTCTTTCCCCCGTCCTACTCCATACACATCGCCTATTCTAGGTCACCTGTTTCATCGCTTTGCTTCTCTAAAGCCTGTGACTTCCTTATGCCACAACTATGTCTCAGTTCTATGTGACCTTGGTTCTACCATTTAGAAAGTTTATTATTTTTTTAAGATTTTATTTATTTATTTGACAGTGAGAGACAGAGAACACAAGCAGGGGGAGTGGGAGAAGGAGAAGCAGGCTTCCCGCTGAGCAGGGAGCCGGGTGCCCAGGACCCTGGGATCATGATCTGAGCCAAAGGCAGAAGCTTAACAACTGAGCCACCTAGGCGCCCCCATTTAGAAAGTTTATTTATTTATTTATTTATTTTTAAGATTTTATTTAGCGTTAGAGAAGAGTACAAGCAGGGCAGAGGAGCAGAGGGAGAGGGAGAAGCAGAGCCGGATGTGGGGCTCCATCCTGGGACTCCAGGACCATGACTTGAGCCGAAAGCAGATGCCAACCGACTGAACCACTCAGGCGCTCCTAGAAAGTCTTAAGTAAAGTAATAAACACGTGAAAAAAAGGCACCAATACATTAGATTGCTGCCTTTAAGTTGAAGGCTTTCCAAAGGCACTGAGACAAACATCCTTCCCAGACAGAGCTGTGGTAGAAGCTGGACCCTTCTCTATTTTATGAAACAATCTGCATGCCAGTAAGTGCTACCAGAGTGTTTTACAACAATCCTTCTGAAGAGGGCATCTGACCTAATGAATAGTTAAGAAGACCTACTACTGCTGCCCCTTCTGTTGTCCCAAAGTGACTTAATGGAGCTCACCAAGCAAACCAGTGTCCACACCAGAACGGAGCTCCTGGTGTGCGGACTCCCAGCGCAGGCCTCTCCGCACTCTGTCTCCGTGCCCGGGACGTCCGGAGTGGGAGCACAGTGTCGGAAGTGAAAGAGTCGGAGGGTAACCACCACTTACACACAAACACCAGGGTGAGCAGCACATGGGCCACCCCGCTGGCCCCCAAGCGCTGTTTCTCAAGAGGGACACAGCAGGATGGCCACAACCTTACTGCCCCCTTGGGAGGGCGACAGACACTGGTAGAGGTGGCTTCTGTTTTTCGATTTCTAAGTCTGCCAAGGCTTGAGTGCTTAGGTGTTTTAGAAACTAGGTAATCCGTTCATTTTTGCCCACAGAACAGAAATAACGCAGTTTTAAAAAATTACACGAGCAGGCAGGTCCTATAATCTAAGTTCATTTCAGAATAATAAAGGGGGCCTCGCTGGTAGTAAAAGGAGATGCTGGAGAGGATCATCTCTGAAGGACAGCATGGCACAAACCAGGTCAACAGCTCTAATCCCTGATGCCCGCCGGCTCTTTCATTCCAAAGCCTAACCGAGATAGGGAAAGGCTGAAAACTTCAGAGAGGGAGTCTCTGAGTCCTAGAGTGGGCTACAATTAGCTTCCTATATTTACTATTAGAATAACTGAGAGGCAAAGGCCCACAGCCCATTTACGATAGGACTCACACCGTAAACCTAACCTTAGCAAAGCACCTGGCATGCCTCCCTCCAACCCCTGGAGAACACCTGAAAAAGCTGGAAATCATTCCTCCCCAGCTGAAAGAAGACACAAGTCTTAGGTCCTGTGTCCAATATAATTTTAGGACAAGCAAAGTAAAAAAAAATCTACCTTCACCCTCTTTGCTTTGAAAAATAAGAACTACAGTAACAACTTAAAAAGGCATCTGGAAATGAGGAGGAGTGAGTCATTTTGGATAGCAGAAAACAGTTCAACTTTCCAAAAGTGAATAACGTGAATTATTTTGGGTGGAAATTTTTCTTGTACAGATTTTTACCACTTTCAACAGGAAACAACCGGACCCTTGCTTGATGAACTGGGGTCACTATTCTGAAGATCACTTCATAAACTGTGCTGTGGCCTACCGACTATGGGAGCCTACATTATTTTCCCTCCACTGCACAGAATTTGAACAGCCAGCACATACCCCTTTCCTCATTGTTTCCTCCCTCATCGTTAGGCTTAAGAACTCCCCTCTTTTTCCAAGTTTCAGTCAGCTCAGGCTGCCATAGCAAAATACCACAGCTTCAACAGAAATCGATTTTCTCAGTTCTCAAGAAGCCCAAGACCGAGATGCCAGCATGGTCTGTTTCCGCCGAAAGTTCTCTTCTGCGTGTACAGCCACCACATTTTCAATGTGGCCTTAGGTGGGGCAGGGTCGGGGGTGAGCTCCCTGGTGCCTCTTCTTCTAGGGGCACGAACCCATCATGAGGGCCTCATGACCTCATCTAAACCTAATTATATCCCAAGACCCCAGCTGCAAAGATCATCACATTGGGGGTCAGGGCTCCAACTTATGAACTTGGGGAAAGGTGGGGGGGGCACACAATTCACCCGTCCTAACCTGATGCTTCTATCCTTGTAGGGACTTTGCAATCAGCGGTACCCTTATTAGGACACTATGTAAAATGAAGAGCAAATGGGCTGAGGGGCCTGATGGCTTTCCAGTGAATAAAGGGAAGGAGCTTTCGTGGATGGGCTTTGCATATTTGCTGTGTTACCTCCAGTTCTGTTCGTCACTAGGTTTCAAGAGTGAAGTTTCACTGTCAGATGTTCTTAAACTAACAATCAGCTTGCAAGTCAGAACAAGATTATTCTTACTTCTGCAGTATGCCAAGCCTGGAACTCTGGGGAGGAGACAGTGAAAAACACAACACAGGGTAAAAGCAAGCTTTCTATTTCTAAATTATATATTAGCAATAGCATATGCATTAAAGAACTGTAATTGGACCAACCAGGAAATAAGCAGTAGAGAGTCTACCTAAATGTGTGAGGTCTAAAGGAAATTTTGGAGAACTTCTGTGACTTTGCAGAGGTGATAAAATCCATTTTTTACAGCTTTATTGAGATGTAATTCACATATAGTTCAAAGTGAGTAATTTAGTAGTTTTTAGTAGATTCACAGAATTGTGCAACCATCACCACGATCAAGTTCAGAACATGGCAACCATCCTCCAAAAGATAACCCACACACATTGAGCAGTCCCTCTCCAACCCTGAAGCCCCAGAAAACCACTGTTTTCTGTCTCTACAGATTTGCCTATTCTGGACATTTCATATAAATGGAATCATACGATATGTGATCTTTTGTGACTGGCTTCTTACACTTGCATATGTTTTCAAGGTTAGTCTATTTTTAGCATCTTTCAGTGCTTTCCTTCTTTCTATTGTCAAATATTCCATTACATGTATATGTCACATTTTATCAGGTAACCAGTTGATGGGCATCTGGGTTATTTCCACTCAGTAATGCTGCTATAAACATTCATGTACCTGTCTTTGTGTGGACATATGTTTTCATTTCTCTTGGGTAAGAGCAGAATTGCTAGATTGTATGATTAACTCTGTGTTTAATCTTCTGAGCAACCACCAGACTGTTTTCTAAGGTGGCCGCACCATTTTACATTCCCACCAGCAGTATGTGAGGGTTCCAATGTATACACATGGCAGCCGACACTTTCTATGTTTTTTTATTGTAGCTATCTTATGAGTGTGAAGTGGTATCTCACTGTGGTTTGATTTTTAAGTTTTTATTTAAATTCCAGCTAACACAAAGTGTAGTATTAGTCTCAGGTGTACAATATAGTGAGTCAACACTTCTATACAACACCTGGTGCTTATCACAACAGGTGTACTTCTTAATCCCCATGACCTATTTCACCCCTCCCCCCACCCACCTCCCCTCTGGTAACCATCAGTTTGTTCTCTATAGTTAAGAGTCTGTTTTCTCGGTTTGCCTCTCTTCTTTTTTCCTCTGTGCTCATTTGTTTTGTTTCTTAAATTTCACTGTGGTTTGATTTTAATCTGCATTTCCCTGATGGGTAATGGTGTTGGAACATCTTTTCATATGCCTATTGGCCATTGCAATGGACATCTTCTTTGGAAAAATGTCTCTTCAGATCCTTTGCCCACTTTTTAGTGGGTTGTCTGTTTACTACTGAGTTTTAAGAGTTCTTTATATTTTTGAATACATGTCCCTTATTCATATATGATTTACAAATATTTTCCCCTATTCTGTGAGGGGGTTTTTTGTATTCTTTGAAGCATAAAAGTTTTTAATTTTGACAAAGCCCAATTTATGTCTTTTTCTTTTGTTGCTTGTGCTTTTGGCACCATATTCAAGAAACTATTTGCTAACCAAGGTCATAAAGATTTGTGCCTATGTTGTTTTCTAAAGATTTTATAGTTTTACGCTCTTACATTTAGGTTTTCGAGCCATGGGACCCAACTTCAGTTTTTGGGTGTGGATATCCGGTTGTACCAGTTTCATTTGTTGGAAAGACTGTTCTTCCCCCATTGACTTGTCTTGGCACCCTTGTCAAAGATCAAGTGGCCATAACTGTATGGGTTTTTTTCTGGACTCTCAATTCTATCTCACTGATCTATGTTTATCCTTACGGCAGTACCAAACTGGCTTGATTTGTAACAATTATTAAAATTGGGCTATTTTAGGTCTCTTAAAATTTCTTATTAACTTTGGGATCGGCTTGTCAACTTATGCAAAGAAGCCAGCTGGGATTTTGATGGGATTGTGTTGACCGTGTAGATCTGGGAAATACAGTCATCTCAACAATGCCATCTTCCAATCCACGCATGGAGAATGCCTTCCATCTATTTAGGTCTTCTTTCAACGTTTTGTAGCTTTCAACGTTTTGTAGCTTCCACAGTGTAAGTGTTGTGCTCCTTTCATTA